TGGTCATGACCGCCACACAGCTGCAGCACTTCTCGCATATATCCACACTCCGTGACATCACTTTGTTTGGTCTCACTTTCATCAGTTGGTTGAAAGGCCATCGCAATGACACTGCAATCACATGCAATCAATCATCCAATTATTGGATCCGTGGTTTAGGAACCAGTCATAGATATATACCTGAATGCGAGTCATATGCATGTGAACGACAAACCCGTTTCCCATTGTCTCCATCCTCTTCCTCGTCGTCTCGATGGCGCTTAGAAGACATTGTCTTCAATGAGAGGTCTGTCAGAGGTTATGGTTTAGGTGTGAGTTATGGTGAAGTGATAATCAGTTCAGTATATAAGCAATGATCAGTAAATTGTGAGTCAATTACACATTTGAACTTCACTCACAAACATATGACTTGTGTTGACAACACTACCCATAAATGACAACAACTATTGCCCACAAATTCATTGACAAAAGTGTTATGTTTTGCTCACAAATAGACATCACTTATAGACGTATTTGTATTGACAGGAGTAGGAGGTGTGGCGTACAGACAGTGACAGCATTTGACATCTCTGGACGTGATTACGATGTGAATATGACATGAATTGGTGGACAACTTAACGAGCGGTCAATGAATTGGCGATAAGTTGAGTCAATTGTGTGACAATGAGTGCTAACAGTAAGGCGTTTGAGTTGTGGTCAGTGGCCGAGAAGGTGACCATTGGTGAGAGGGTTAGGGTTAAGGTATTGTCACCATTTGATCCCATTTTATCATCTAATCTAATGCTCTTCAATGCACTGTTAGGTTGAATGCATTGAATTTCGGGCCAAAAGTCTGTATTTGGGAACAAATGAGAGTTTTGTCATTGAATTCAAGTACAACTCATTCACGAAGAGATGTGAAGACAGTTTGCGATTCAAATACTTGGGACTCAAGAAGCCTGTGGTGACCATAAGAGCCGTCTGTATTCTGGAGCGCATTCTCTGTATCTGTGATTCAAATCTAATCGTTTTAAACCAAAACGATTTGGAAGTGATTTCTTATGGAAACAAATTGAAAAATATTAGTGTTTTATGTCTCAACGAAAACCCCTTAACTCCCAATCCGTTTAGCGTTGAGTTATGTATCGCCCGAA